TTTCTTTATGCTTAATGGAGCAGTGAACTTAATGCCACACTGGCCTGAAATAGAGCAGCACTAACCAGTGGAGTGGTGAGGGGGAACCGCAGTGGCGGGCAGAGAACGTAAATGCCAGTGCGGATAAGGACTCGGCCGTGATTCGCCTCATTATTCTGACAGATTTTTTGGCGCTCCAATGTGGGCTCCCAGGCAAGCTAGTTAGTCATCCTCAACTCAGTCAGAGCACAGAGACAAGGGGCTGCATTGCCTCAGAAGACTGAACATACTGTTTACTCCTCTCTCGCTCGTGTAGATAATCCATCGCTTGGTTGAAGCTGCAGCCATGATGGACTGTTCATGATATTGGGAACCCATGTTGTACAACACAGTAGCACATCTGAATCCACCTGCCTTTTGATAAATTTCAGATTGATGAATTAATTATTACTACTAATTTTGTTGATTATTATTATTATCATTATAATTTATTTGTCAAATATACTGGAACCAAATACAAATGTGGTGCTAATAAGCTGGAGGAAAGGAAAACACTCTTTGTTTGTTGTGCTTTTACTCTGTGTTCTTCCTCGTGTCCGTGGCCAGTAAGATGGATTCTCCATTCTTCAAAGTTCATTCCTTTGTTTTTATGTAAAGCTAATTAGTAAATGAATGAATATATGTGGTTACAAACAATGTAAATTCAGTGACTTTTTGGTCAGTAATTGAAATGGTTGTTTTTTTGTGACTATAGTGATAATGGTCAAAATGATGATAATGACTTCCATAATGGAAATAATGACGGAAGAGAATAATGCGATGAGATAAAGATTCACACTGTATTGTGTTTGTGTGAGAATTCCTCAAATGTTAATAAATGCCAGTTTTGAAAGTTTTGTTGAAATAATAAAAGAAAGTCCCATTGCAGATCATGTCCAGTAAAGGAGTCGGTCAGACTGCTGTGGTCAGAAAGCTGCATTATGCATATGATAAGGATATCAGTGACTGTAGAACTAAAGCTGAGCAGAAACCTGGATGGCAGGGAGGGTGTTGTATGTGGCCGTGGATGCAGACAGTGGGCAGTTGGGTTACCCTTGTGTGTTTCCCCCTTGATACTGTGTCTAAGCCTTGATGTCTCACGCCTAGAGCCAAACGTGTGGTGAACCAATTTGAGCCATTAATATTCTGTCGCGACTCATTGTCTTTGCCTGCTGACATTTACATTTAGATTGTTTATCTGACGGTGGGGGGTGTCCAACCTTTAATGAATATGGCTGTGTTGTTCCCGAAAGGCGGCAATTACTGGCTCTGTTTAAAGATAATGAAAGTGGAGGGATGTGGTAGGTGGGCATTAGGCACGGCAGAAGAAAGGGACTCAGTGCCGTTGTTCTTTTCCACCTACCGCAGTAAAGCACTGAGGACTCTGCACCGCTTCCCCATCATCCTCGCTCTGATCTCTCCTGGTTCCCCTGCAGTTGGATATAATGAGCAGTTCACAAGTAAACACGTTTACAGACTAGTAGCCTCGAAAGGTGCATAAAAGCTATGTGAAAATTAAAGGTAAACATACAGCCTGTTTCGATAACATTGTCTGTAAAGGTCCTTGAATCCTGGTGTGTGGATGCAAGTAGATATTTAATTTGGAGCACTGCGTAATGAATAATACATCATTTAATAATTAATTTAATCGTTCAGCTATGGGTGAAAAGTGCAATCAAACAGACTATGTAACGTGATTAATATGACTAGCTTTTTTTGAAGGTCACAGTGTCATTTAAATGTAGCATGCAATTAATTTTAGTGTATTGTGTGTGAATGTTGAAAAATGCATCCAACATATGAAAGTGTTGATAAATGTTTTCAAAACTTTTAAAATGGGGTTTGGGAAATGAAAAAAGCACGGAAAAATAAAAATGATGTATACAGAAAGTTTTTTGTGATTGCTGACTAAAATGCTTGATTTTGCAGCACCATATTCCTCAAATTTCTGACGATATTCTAAGTCTGGGATGTAGTAATTTGTGAAGATGATGAGATATTTATTTAACTTCTTTTAACTGTAGCCTCGTTTGTTTTATTCAAAACAAATAAGAAATTAAATCTACCTTTGAGAACCAACAACATGTGAAGCAATAAACCGGATATAAAAATGTATAAAACTGCTTTAAAGTGTCAAAAAAGCATTAAAATTGAAAATATTTTACATCATGATGGCAAATTGGCTACAACAACAAAGTGGTAGGTCATCCACATGTACACTCTGCCCACTGAACATGTTCTTACTTAGGAATATTCAGGTAATCTAAGGAATAAACTTAGCAGTTTATTTGGATTACATTAAACAAAACTGTGCAGCATCTGAGTTTCTACTAAAGGAACAGTCACGGAGCTCATAACTGCTCACAAAAGACACGAAAGAACATTCACACAGATGTGCAGTCAGAGTGACAAAATCACGGTAGGTGTGGTCAGTTTAGCTGAGATATCAGACACTCAGTCTGCACACTTCATTTTAAAAGCACTTTACAGAATTACATGTTTAGTGTGGAAATAATATGCTGATTGGACAAAATTGCGAACTCTGACAAACACCACAAGGAGTTTTGCGTGAAATCTTGCAAACACAAGATCACAAATTCCTGGAGGAGGAGTTATATGTATATGGATTATCAGATTCAGTATTGACCACCTGGGTTTTTGATCAGTTTCCCTTTATATCCGTGAGGGTGAAAGTGTACAATAGGCACCGCCAGAAATACCCCTCAGTGAAACTGCACACGTGTTGCAGCCTCTCTATGCAGACGTGCACTGCAACACTGCGTAGCTCTATACTATCTTCCCTTTTTCTGCTTGCTGAAAATTCCATTCTCAGTGATTCAGGCAGCCTCCCAGCCCGTGTGTTAGTCCAGACCTAGAGAGCGCGCAGTGTGCCTGAAAGGGCTAAGTGCCGAGGGTTTGATGGGATGGGATGGGTTGAGGTGTGACTGTTGCCTAAAGCGCTGGCCAGAGAGGTTCGACTGCAGCTAGTGCGAGCCATTAGAGAGAAGGAGCATGGTGAGAGGGTAATGGAATGCTCTCTAGCTCACCCTGGGAAGCAGCCAGGTTGCTTCACTTACACTGGAAGGCTGACGTGCAGTCCGTGCTGCCCGCTCCTGCCTGTCTAGGCCCTGTGTGTTACTGTCTAGGGGCTGACGCACTGCAGATCAATAAAATAGCCTCTGCCCGCTCGCCTGCTCGACTTGGCCCAGGCCCGAGCAACACAACTTGGGCCTTAAGTCACAGTGTCGAGTATGAGTAAGAGCCCAATGAGTTAATAATGCAGCATTAGAGCGCGATGGAGCATTACAAAGTAGGAAAGGCCTAGCCAGACACTTGCGTAAGTCAAAGGCGGAAAAAAAACATTACCAAGGGAGGAAATTTCACGATAGGCTCTGAGCTGCCCATGTGGGGCTGTGTAGAATGTGAGGCATCAGGGCTGACAGTGGGGATGTAAAAGTGATTTAATGAAGTCTGTTCTAATGCTTTCTCCTCGGCCCACTTACACAGATTAAATTAGACCAGCGCTGGCCTCCACGGAAAGGCTCCCAGTTCGCTGCATTGTTTGAGTGCCATTTCAATTCTAAAATGGAGAGGTTTAATCGAGACAAAGCCGTGAGGACGGCCTCACACTGCTTTACTGGCAATTTAGTTACTGCTGAATGTAACACAGCCTGGACTCAAGGATCTTTTTATCAAACATGTGCCTGACCTTGGATACAGCTGCTGTTGCATGAATAATATGGCATATTGTGGCCCAGGCTCGTGAGATATGAATATCAAACGATGAGGTAAAGAGTCACCAAGGGCGTGTAATGTCTCCCTATGTAGGGGGTTCACAGTTTGCTCCATCCTCGGCAGGAATATTATTAGCTTGTCAAATAGATGTGACTCAGACAAGACAGTTAAGCAAAACTTCTTCCTTTACATGGACGCTGGGCTATCATGCCTTTAAACCCGCTGCACTTTGTGTGTCCAAGAATGTGCTGCCATGGATGTGTCGCTGTGTGGAGGAGCTGCAAATTGCTTGGCAGTCAGCTGGCTGTGTCGGCATGCCTAGCTGCCATGGCGACGCACTCATGCATGTTCTTGGCAAGAGCCGCTTGTCTGTGCCCAGATGTTGAACTCAGCAGCCTCGATTTATTCTAATCCATCCGAACGCCCTCCGCCACCTCAGCCCATCTGTAACAGCGATGCCTGTACAGGCGCCATATTAATGCACATTATTTCAGCCAGGTGGTTTGCCCCAAGTCCCCTTATCACCACTGTCAGTTGATTGGACTGTTTGCAGCTGCTTGGCAACACATGTGGGTGAATAGACAGTATAAGTGGGTCAGCGTTTGTCCTTGTCTTAGATGTGCTCTTGCACTTTTCTCTCTCTCCTAACTCTCTGTCTGTATCTCTCGCTCCACATTTTAAAACGCTTTTCATGCATTTTTCCTTCTGATTCAGTAATACGCGGTTTCTCGTCTTTAAATGTCTCGTATTACATGATGCTGTCACAGAGTCTTTTTTCAGTTTTTATATTTTTATACCACCTAATAACAGCAGGTGCCTTTTACATTTTACATTTCATAATGGAGGGAGCAAAAGAGATGAACTCCCATTACATCAACATTAAACTGTAGACAGTTTTTCTTTGTTATCTAAAGCTACCATTTCAGAGCGTTTGCTTGTGACATTGTGTTATACTGCTACTGCCCCTCAGCACTGCTGAATACACTAAGTACACTGTATAATTTGTCACCTATGTGGACTGAATAAGTATATAATTCAGATGAACTGCTACCATCCAGTTCCCCATCAGCAGGAGCAGGACGTATGATCTGATCCCAGCTGTAACAGCTTACATGTGCCTCTCTTCTTGGTTCTCTAAAATACTTGAGATCTGGCCTCAGTCCAGTTATGGACACATTACAGAACTCTTCAATAAGCACTGAGGTAACAGAACATCCTGTCCTTTGTTCTTTGTGTCTGTCCTGCAGCTAAGCATCATGTCAGTGGTAACAGGATGGTGCCGCCGTTCCCAGAAGGATTGCAGATGGCAATGTTTGGTAAGTGATCCAAGCGCTCTGATGCAGGAGTGTATGTGAGCTGTGTGTGTTTGCATGTTTATGCTTGTGTGTTTTGGGGGTAAGTAGAGGTGCATTATAATAAGTCTCCCCGTACTTGAAAGAAAGAGAGGAAAAAATCCCCAAAGCAGGCAAAACCAAATGGGTGGAGTGGAGATTAATTACAAGAGATTGCTAAAGTATCATTGGTTGAAAGCAATCATTCAGTCTCACTTTATTTTTATGAAAAAAATATCAATTTTATTATATGTCTACATATTAATCAAATGCTTTGATCCCACTTTGGATATCCCCAATAGATTACCTATAGATGTTAAAATTATTGACAAACTATCTGGTAAAACTTAACTATAGTTGACTGTTTCTCAACAGTGTTAAGGTTAGGATTAGGTCCAAGTTTAGGGTTAGGAAAAATTTAAGGTGAACTTTACAACCCTGTTTCCAAAAAAGCTGGATTTCAAATGGTGAAACTGAGAAACTGTATTATTATTTTTTAGAAAAATATATGACCGTTTTGAATTTGATGTCAGCTGCACATTTAAAAAAAGTTGGGACGGGGGCCTGTTTACCACTGTGCTTCATCACCTCTTCTCTAACAACACTCTGTAAGCGTTTGGGAACTGAGGAGACACTGCTGTAGTTTAGAAAGTGAAATGTTTTCCTGTTCTTGTTTGATACAGGATTTCAGCTGCTCCACAGTTCAGGGTCTCCTTTGTCATATTTTTAATTTCATAATGCGCAAATGTTTTCAGTGGTGACAGATCTGGACTGCAGGCAGGTCAGTTTAGCACCCGGACTCTTTTAAAACAGAGCAATGCTGCTGTAATACATGCAGAATGTGGTAAAATAATTAAGGTCTTCCCTGAAAAAGACGTTGTCTGGATGGCAGCATATGTTGCTCAAAAACCTGTTTATGTCATTTAGCATTAATGGAGCTCAGGCCCAAAAAAGGCTGCTGCATTTCTGGATCCTGTTTATATGTGGTTTATTAGTGTTTTCACTTACATTTGTGGACGCAGTGATTACCTGTTTTCATAGACAGTCATTTTCAGAAGTGTTTCTGAGCCCATTCAGTGATTTCCACTACAGAATCATGTCTGTTTTTAATGCAGTGTCACCCAAAGGTCAGAGCTATCTAGTACTAGTCAATACTGAGATCCAGATTCTCTGAATCTTTTAATGATATTATGTAGCGTAGATGATAAAAGGCAGAAGTTATTTACTATTTTCTGTTGAGAAACGTTATTCTTGAATTGTTGCACTATTTGATGGTGCAGTCTTTCACAGAGTGGTGAACCCCTCCTCATCTTTACTTCTGAAAGACTCCGCCTCTCTGAGACGCTCTTTTTCTGACCTGTTGCCAGCTAACCACCAGGGGTTTTTTTAAGCATTGCACAACCTTTCAAGTCTTTTGTTGTCCCTGTCCCAACTTTATTGAAACTCATTGCTGGCATCAAATTCAAAATATATTTTATATTTGTTTTTCAAGAAAACAATTAAATACAGTGTTTAAATGATTTGCACATCATTGCATTCTGTTTTTATGTACATTTTGTGCAATGTCGCAATGTTTTTGGGTTGTAGTAGACATTTAAAGGTGCAGTATATGATTTAAATCCAATATACATTTTGTCAAATTCAGCAAATTCTCCTCATGATCTGCTAGTTCTCTGTTTGTGTGCGCACTGCAAAAAATATTCAGCATTCCTACACAGCCCTGGCTCCGTAAATGGTAAACAAGCAAAGTGGTTCAGGACGAGTTTCACAACACTATTTCAGCCAATCAGTGACAAGGGGCCTTTCATGCTCGTGCACAGAACAGGGGGAAGAGGAGGGGCTACATGCTGAAGTTCACGCATCATCAAGGAGAGAGATGGCCGAGAAACAAAGAAGAAACGCTGTCAGACCAAAGATCGAAAAGGAGGTTCTTAGATCAGGGAACGGTGTTTTAATAGCGGAGAGACTGAAAGTTGACGAGGCTGAAGTTCCTATTCGCATTTTCTAGTTCCACTTTAAACTGTGCAGCTTCCAGTCTGTCTCCTGGACGTAACTGCTGCACCATTTCAGAGCAGGAAAATTCAGCTTCATTAAGAGTTAAATGGCATGAAAAGGGATGAGGGGGTTGCCCTGTTTCTGCTTGACAGGCAACATTCACTAAT